AATAGAACAAGGATATCGGGATACCACTCGGTGAAGTCACTTGTGGGAAATCAAGGCGTCTTAGTAAGTTCTGTGTGTATGTTCTACAACAAAATGGAAACACGTCTTGACGTGAAGAAAAATTTGAAAGTATCATAGAAATTACATAACTTCTAATGTAGTCTTTGAAATACTATATGTATAAGAAATATGCAATTTTTAATTTTCTTATCCAAGTTTAAAAATGAAGTATACTTATGAATTTATTTTCCTCACCAAATCGTGAATTACAGTAAAGAAAAGATGACTTAGAAACCTAATCTGTCTCTGATTCGCTGCAGCAGTCTAGTTTCGCCGAATTCACAGCTCATAAGTGCTGCTTTGAAAAGTGAAGCAAATAAATAAAGAAAGCCTTCTATATCGCTGGAATGTAAGCAGTTTGTTTGTTTTTTGGTGTATAATTCTTTAATCACAATTAATAACCTAAAATACTTTACATGTTTGGATAATGTGTGGCACACCGTCACAATTATTCAGCGGACTAACTGGTTTTTCTTCTTTTTTTTTTCTCACCAAAACGTGAATTTCAGTGGTCAAAACTAAAAAAAAAAAATTTCACCTCGACTTTTTGAAACTTTCAGATTAATATCAAACCCGATAAAAAGTATAAAAGTGATATAATTCCAATTTTGTATAAAATCTTTCAAAGCAAAATAATAATTGAATGAACCAATTATGCTAAAGTAAGACACAAAATATCTCTTAAGTTTAATATCATTTAACTAACAATTGAATTTCACGATAAAAGTTTTTTGCATATTCTGGTCTCATTTGTGAATTATCGCATTCTTAGAACTGAAGACAGAAAAAATTTAATTCTAATCTTTGTCCCAAATATTTTCCCCCACAAACTGAACTTATTAAAATATAAAAATAAATTTCTTGCTTAACAGTTAAAATTTCGAAGTATTTTGACAACTTTACCTCCACTTTCTGAAGTGTTGCTTCAATAATAATTACAACATAATTGATATATATACTGTTTTCACAAGGTTAAATACTTAATAGTTTACTATTTTTATCGTATTGCTTTATTATTTTTTGCTTGATTGTCTTTAACACTTAATATAAAATATTTTGTCTAAGAATTTAACTTCCCTGATTATGGTATCAATGGTGATTATTTCAGACTTTGTCATTTTGTAGCATTAATCTCTAAACTCCGCCA